TTCAACGCGACTCCGTTACCTCCTGTAGTAAATAGAAATTGAAATTTCAGGCAAAAATAAATAAAACAAAACGATGTTAGTTCTCAAAGCTATAACGGAAAAAATTACTTTATTTGTTGGGTCATAAGGTTCATTTAACATTAAAGGTTGTTTAACATATGTCATTTCGTTTGTAAGTGACAGGAGTAATTTATTGTTTTGTGACGAATGATCGTAAGTATTAGATAATGTTTTGGAGATTTGGAACTTTATTACTAGGTGGCATAGCTGTAATTAGTTTGAACTTAAAACTGTTTCAAAACTTTTTTCTCCGTTTGTTGTAAACCAACGTAGCTATGTATGTGTATATTCACGCGGACAGTTTTTGCTTCGATTTTGTACGTGTCCCTTTATCTAGTTACTATTGTTGATCGAAGGCTTTAGGTTACGACGACTTCAGACTTTCACTACACACGACAAAACATAAAGTCTCAATACAATTGAAATTTAACATGCTATTAATTTTTGTCATTAATATTTTCAGGAGGACGACGACGATGACGTTGTTCTGGTTAAAGAAGAGGAAGATCTCAAAGTTGAACGTCGCAAGTTCATGTTCAATATCGCCGACGGAGGCTTTACCGAACTCCATACTCTGTGGTTGAATGAAGAGCGAGCGGCCGCGCCCGGCAGGGAATACGAAATCTGGCACCGAAGACACGACTACTGGCTGCTGGCCGGAATCGTCACGCACGGATACGGTCGCTGGCAGGACATACAGAACGACCTGCGATTCGCGATCATTAACGAGCCATTCAAGATGGACGTCGGCAAAGGAAACTTCCTCGAGATTAAGAATAAGTTTTTGGCTCGTCGTTTCAAGGTGAGCGTTTTAAAAATTGTTGTAATATTATGATACATAGTATCAAAGAGAAAAATGTAAAAATCATAAATTATAATAAAATATAGTAAATTTATTTCATGCAGCTACCAATTATTCTTTACTTTTCGAAAAAAAAAGTCCTTAAGACATTATACAGTAAAAAATAGAAAAAGTCCTATTTATTAAATAGAAACCTGATAATTGAATTAATCTGAAATTTCAAAATTCAATCTGAAAATGTATTTCACAGCTTTTAGAACAAGCGTTAGTGATCGAGGAGCAGCTCCGTAGAGCGGCATACTTGAACCTCACACAAGATCCGAACCATCCCGCTATGTCATTGAACGCGCGGTTCGCTGAAGTCGAGTGTCTTGCCGAGTCCCACCAGCATCTCAGCAAGGAGTCCCTCGCTGGGAACAAACCAGCCAACGCAGTGTTGCACAAGGTTAGTTTCGATATTTCCAGAGACCCTCTCTCCCTTTTTTGTTGGTAATTTAACTATCACTTTTTTTATTAATTTTACTTATAAAAAAGCAAGGCTATATAGTAAGATAACTTGCTATTTCGTCGTTGTCAAACCAAAATCTGCTATGTGCACTTTTTGATCTTTTCGTATAGTTCTCAGCCCTATCTATCGTATAAAAAAAATTGTTATATGTCTATAGCTCTAATATTTATCTATAGCTTTTATTTGATATAGTTCTTAAAAATTCACCTTCACATAAAATTTGATTCGAAAATGTTTTTACATAATTCAAAATAGAGTTTTTCCACATAGCAGATTTTTGGTTTGACAGCGACGATTTTCTGTTTTGGCCTTTTTATAATGATCCTTTATTCACTGATGAGTTTAGTGGTAAGTTCATCATTAAAAAGGAAAACCATAAAAATATTGTATTCAAATCAAATCAAATGAAATCAAAAAAAAATTGTAGGTTCTGAACATCTTGTGGGATTTTGTTGTATAGGCGCACAGACAAATACCCGAATGAATTTCGTATCTTATGTAACCTACTCATCGGCACAACAAGCTTGTGTTTGTTTGTTGTATTTAGCTTGATTGACCCGAGAATTCAAAAGTTAGCAAATTTATTGATGGCGAGCGTTTATATCGTGATGCAGGTGCTGAACCAGCTGGAGGAGCTGCTGTCGGACATGAAGTCGGACGTGTCGCGGCTGCCGGCCACGTTGGCGCGCATCCCGCCCGTCGCGCAGCGCCTGCAGATGTCGGAGCGGTCCATCCTGTCGCGCCTCGCAGCCACCGCAGGCAACCCAGTGCCCGCCGGTACCTTACAGACGCTCTTATTTTGATACATTGATGGAAACATTCTTCTGTGACGTCATACCGTCGGATTTAACTTGCCAATGAATCGCCAAGTCTTTTTTTATTGCTTAGATGGGTGGACGAGCTTACAGACCACCTGGTGTTAAGTGATTACTGGAGCCCATAGACATCTACAACGTGAATGCGCCACCCACCTTGTGATATAAGTTCTAAGGTCTCAAGTATAGTTACAACGGCTGCCCCACCCTTCAAACCGAAACGCATTACTGCTTCACGGCAAAAAATGGGCAGGGTGGTTGTACCTACCCGCGCGGACTCTCAAGAGGTCTACCAGTAAGTACCTCTTTTCTTTTTCTCCACCTTATCCCACTAGGTGGGGTCGGCACAGTGAATTTTTTTACTCCGTCCTCATCTATCAGCCGTCATCTCAACACTCACTCCTCACTCTCGTTCATATAGTCATTCACACACTCCAACCATGTTTTCTTCGGTCGACCTTTTCCCCTTCTACCTTGCACTACCATTTCCATACATGAATGAATCGCAAATTATGAGATTAAAATGAAATTTCATTTCCATGAAATTAGTTCACAGATATGTTCGTAACAGGTAGTCTGTCTGCGATATTCAGTTAAAGTTGCCTGTCTATTTTCGTTATAAACAATGAAAAATAGAATGAAATAAAATTTTCAATTGTATTGCAGCCCAAATGCCGCAGTTCCCGACCGGCTTCCAGCCCGGCGGCACGCTCCCCGGGTTCGCGGCGTCGGCTGCGACGGCGGCTAATTTCTCCAACTTCCGACCGCAGTACTCCGTGCCCGGACAGCCTGCATCATCCTCTAACTCGAATGTGAGTCCATGACTGACTTAACTGTGACCAGTTCATTATTTTAGTCAGTATCTACATTGAAGTTCAATCTCACAACAAACTTAGCAAAACATTTAGGGTCCGTTCACATAGACCGGCTCGGAAAGCATCGGCCCGCTTTTTTTTTGCACACAGACCGGATCGTATAAGTTTGGGATAGGCCGGAGCGGAGCCGCCAACTATTTCACATAGACCGGCTGGAAGAGATTGTTAAGCGGATGCGCACGCAATTGGAGCGGATGGGTTACGCGAGCGAAAGAGCCGGTCGGCTCCTCTTATTATTTCACACGCAGCGCGTTCAAGCATTGCTAATGACAAAAAAAGTGCACATGCAAAAATAAACTGTACTACAATTACTCAAAACTCTGTTTCCACCGTGATAAAAATCTGCTTCATCTCTGTGGGAACGGACCCTTATGGTAATAAAATGTTGAAGTTGACATCAGTATTTCTCAATCAAATTAATCGTGACAGTTTAAATAGTTAGATGAGTATATTACCATAATATCAAATAATTATACTGCAAATGATTAACTATCATTATGATCATGATACATTAACTTGAATGAGATGTGTAATTGTAATTTAAAGAATTAAGAGATAAATGTAAAGAAAATTTCTCTAAAAAGTTATCACATATAAAGCTATAATTCATTAGAACAATAAAATTTTGCAATGTTTGTTTACAAAAAATCTAACGATCAAATAAATCGGATTTTATACCTGCAAATTATTGTTATTAATTTATAACATTCATGAATGGTCTGTTTTGTTTCAGAAATCATAAACTCCGTAATTTAAACAACTATATTCGATTTGACGTAACCCGCAGGTAAAACATAGAATAATAATTTAATTCTTAGGCTAGAAGTGACATGCTTGACGGCCCGTTTAGATTTTCTCGCTGGTCGATATGCACGTTGAAATAAATTATCGAGAGCTCAAACAATAACGTGATTATTGTATCATTTTGTTTTAGCGAGCGGATATGTCGCCGCGTAGGTGAATTAGATGTAAGCTTTTTTGAAGATTCCTGTTTCCACATCGGCTCCGAAGTCATAATTAAATTTGTGATTAGTTCAGATAGATTACATGACGTCATAGCGAAAATAACTCATAATATTATTTATTTCATCCTGATCTGTATGAATCTTTTCTATCGTGTAAGTGAATTGTGGACTTATGAAATCTTTATTTTTAATTTACCAAAAATTGAAAACTGAATAAAACTTACAGTTAAGGAATTGTGTTTTATTTATTGTCGCTTTCACAAGAAAGTGAATTTTAAGAAAATAATGTATAATGTTTATTTGGTGGTAACGACGAAGGGAAGATCTTATGCTTATCTTGAAAATATCGTTAGCGAAATTCAGGCTATCTGCCACTCGATTAACCACAAACGCTACCGCGTCCTGCACGTCAGCACGGCTAGCTGTATTCCGGCTAACCGCAAAGTGAGTAGGCGCCCTTAGTGATCATCCTTCATGATCGCGTTTATCTTTCCTGGTAAGGCATGGGTAGCAACACTAGCAGCCACTGCCTTGCCTATTCCTGATGTGAAGAAAATATTATCGCATTCCGGTTTGAAGTGTGGGCAACCGTTGTACTATAGGAAGTTGAAACTTGGAACTCGTGTCTCGAGATGGGTGGCAGTATTTTTTGCAGTACATTATTTACGTCTATGGCTTCCTGTGTGTTTAGTGCGAGTTTTTTAACGTTCTCGATAGCGTAAAAGTTAACCCAAATTCGTATGCAGTTGAAACGGAGCGCCCCTAGCGGCAAGCGTTCTAACGTACGGTTACGGAGGAACTTCGGGGAGGCAACTGCTAAAGAAGGTGGCTGCCTTCGCATTAACTTCATGGTTAATGATTATTTACGGAAACGACATATGTTTATTATACTAGATTATAGCTTCAGCTTTCATTGAACATCGAAGTTGGTTATCATCCAAATTTTAGGCAAATGAATTTTGCACGTTGCTTTTCAAAAATATTTAATTCATGATCACAATATGAATTCAATTCACAAAACAAACAAAAAAGAAATCAAAACAATAATCGCAATAAAAACTCTTCAGTACGAGTAAGTATCGTCTTCTGTGTTATATTTGACGCTGTCCAAAGTTTTAACAACTGCGGGGTCGGGCGAGCAGAAGTGTTGCAACATGTCTTCGGATAGTCCGCAGTCTGAGAGGTTCTCTTTGTTAAAGGCTTTAGTAAAGTGGTTCGCTTCGTTTTCTTTTGACGGTTCACCTGTGAAAATTCAGAGTTTAGATCAGATACTCAGAGAAAAATATCAATTTTAGTTTTTAAGTTAAATAAGTTAGAATTCACAAGTTCATTCAAGAAGAATTCATAACTGTACAAGTTGCTACTTATTTTGTATTTATTTTTCACATGTGTATAATATTTTTATGTAAGTTTATTATGATATAGCACCGTCCAGTTTGCTTATTCCTCTCCCTGCAAGGTTGCCTGGAAGAGATCGCCTTTAGCGATAAGGCCGCCAATTTATGTCACCGTCTATTATTTGTTTTATATGCTCTGTACATGTGGTGTTAAATAAAGAGTTACAACTCGACCAAGCTACGTTTGCACCTCGCATCGATTACGTCACACTGCCGCTTAGGTATGGTCTGAATAAAGGATTCGCTATGACTTTAAAAATGTAAACAAATGTTTGTTAGATTTTAAAATAAATTTTCAAAACTGTCAAGTATAATTTTTCTAGGACATTGCGTTTTTTACCTAGTGTCAGTAATTTTGGGTGGACTTAATTGGGCACTAGTACTTGGATGTGGCGAAGAACACGAAGCTGGTAAAGCAGCTGGCTGCGATAATTGCTTGGCTTCTTTTTTTATATTCATTAGGCATTTTACAAAAAAATGAAAGTTAACCGTTCAGTAACAACAGTTCAACAAAAAATCTAACAAGAACAGTTAAAAAATTTAAAATTCAAGGGATAGGGAAACGAAAACTCGTATGACGCGTGTCGGCGAAAAATGTGCTAACCGTACTGACGCGATAGGGCCATCGCGGGTAGGTGAGCGGGGAAGCAGACGGAGCGCCGCATTCCAGCGAGGTGCAAACTTAGCTTGGTCGAGTTGTATATTATTATTATTCATTGGTATGGTTGAGGTTGTGTTCTTTAAATTACAGCACATAGTATATACCTTCAGTCATTAGTGATGACGCCCACGAGAACGCAAGCGTCGACTGCTGGTGAGCAAAAGTGGCGCTAAATTGAGCTGACGAGTTCGTTTTAAGAACTTTGAATAACGAATGTACGGCAGTGGGAAGTATTGGGCCGCGCAGCTCTATCGAGTAGTACTTTTTGCTATCGGAATGTATTGTGTTTTCTCGGACCTGAAATGAAGGATTCGTTGTAATCTTTACACATATTGTAAATGTAATGAGAAAATAGTGGAAACTCCCACAGACACAGCCCACTGAGTTTCTCGTCGGATCTTCTCAGTGGCTCGCGTTTCCGATCCGGTGGTAGATTCTGCGAAGCACTGCTCTTGCTAGAACCAGTGTTAGCAGCACTCCCGGTTTGAGCCCCGTGAGCTCACTTACTAGTTCAGTGAATCTAGAATAACCTCTCGAGGCTAGTAGAATAGGTAGGAGAAAAAAAAAGTTGAAACTTTTATCATTTTATTTCTATTAGCCGAGATTATCTATTGACGACCATTTTACGGCGAAGAAGCTAAAGTCTAAGTCATCAATTGTTGGAAAATTATGGGACCATTGGTTAGCGACAAATTTCTGTAACAATAGTTGATTATAAGAGGAAACATTATTAAGAGATTGCCCCTCTGCTGTGATAAAATCTTCATATATCAAAGACTTAAGATACCAATGACATGGACGGTACAATACAATTTTATTTACCTTCAAAGACTGCAACGTTCCTCCATGGAAGGCGGTGGGAGACAGTAACGTTGGTGGTACGCCCGCAAATGGTCCAGTAGGGCTCACGAGCGATTTGCAGTTGAGTAGAAAATTGAACAAAGCTTGTGCGTCTGCGCCCCGAACCAAAACCAATGATTCGGCTGCGCTGTCCACGCTGCTCTCTACAGAGTTCGTCAAACGAGCCTGTAGAAGCACAAGCGTAAATTAATAGTTGTCTATACTAGAAATTATTGTAGTTTTAGGAAGCATCGTGGACGGGAATTCATTCTAGATATTGCCAAAAAGATCCCTGGAAATGTACTGGATGAACGCAGTGATTCAAGGGAGTATGTATGAACACTATGGATTCTAGTTTCAATGGGCGGGTCATATTCTGGAATGTGACGGTCATTAGGATTTGGAAACGATGTCATCCATCTAAAACAAATATATAACGTGGTCTTCCTATTTCGACCACACTAAATACTTTCTATTTTTTTAAATATCTTATTCTAATAATTAAAAAAATATTTGTTAATTTAATACTTGATCATACCTTACCTGCATAATATTAATGTTTTTAATAATATCATTCTCAAAACCGAGCTGCGTGAGGAACTGGTCGTCCTCTTCATCTTCCTCTTTTTCCTCGAGTGGGTCCCGTACCCCCATATCGTCCATCGTCTCGTAGCAGCTGTCGAACGATGAATTCTTAGGTTTGTCTTCATCTGATGTGTTTAGTTTCTTTTTGCTCTCTGGTCGAAGCGGCATTGTGAATTCGACATCTGAGAATTTTTTATTTATTGATTATATCAACGAGATCTTGTTTTTTCCTACCTTATCTGATAGCCTTGAGAGGCTATTTCAGCGTAATCTTAACTAGTAGGTAAGCTCACGGGGCTTAAACCTGACGACGTTGCTAAAACGAACCCTAGCAAGTGCCGTGTTTCGCAGAATCTACTAGCAGATCGGAAACGCGACCCACTGAGAAGATCCGGCGAGAAACTCAGTGGGCTGTGTCTATGGGTTAATTTATTCGCCGAGCCCTTCGTCCCAAGCGACGGGTTCGACCAGAACGATGACCGGAGGTACCTAAAAGTACCGTTAGTGGATCGGTAGGATCCGAAATGACGTGTTTTGGGCTAATGAGATCCTGGAGTTACCACTACTATCAAGTCATCACCGATACGCACTTATATGTTTATCATACTATCTATGTTAACACATCAAATAATTTCTTAATTTTTGAATTCAAGGTCTTCTATTCCCCTAACACCAAGCCAAAACAGAGTATAGTTACTGCGACAACTTTAAGAAAAAGATAGGACGAAGCAACATTATTTGGTGTCTTTAGTATAGTTTGAACTGGTGGTAGGACCTCTTGTGAGTCCGCGCGGGTGGGTACCACTACCCTGCCTATTTCTGCCGTGAAGCAGCAGCGTGAATGCGTTTCGGTTTGAAGGGTGGGGCAGCCGTTGTAACTATACTTGAGACCTTAGAACTTATATCTCAAGGTGGGTGGCCCATAGACATCCACAACGTAAATACGTTGTGGATGTCTATGGGCTCCAGTAACGACTTAGTACCAGGTGGGCTGTGAGCTCGTCCACCCATCTAAGCAATAAAAAAAAAACTATGTCTGTAGTCTGTCAATACCTTCTTGGCGAAGAGTTTGTCGGAATCCTCTAGTAGTGGGAGCTATTAGGGCGCAGGGCTCAGAGACGCCGCAGAGGCCGGCCGCACGAAAGAGGCATGTGAATGTGTTCGCGCACACGTAGAAGTAGGGGCAGTGCAGTGCACGAACTAACTGGAATAAGTATTCTATTTTCATACATGTGAACTCTAAACTTCTGTGTTCGGCAAAAATAATACTTAATACAAAATATTACGGCAGAAGGATTTTATGTGGCTTAAAAAATTTAACTGTATAGCATTTTAATAAACGAATGGATAACACATACCTGAAACAATGATCGAAAACTCTCAGTCCATTCATCGTACAAAGCTTTCTTGACTTCCTCGTTTGTGGCCAAAAAACTGGTGGCTGTTACCTTGCCTGAAGAGCGCGGGAACATTTCTAACCAGGGTAAGTGTGGGTGTTGCCAATACAGGCAGGTCTGGTGGAAACGAGCGCGAGAGGACGTGTCTAATGTCGTCGATGTGGTTGTGTCTAGACAGCGGACAAATCTGGAAAATTTTCAGGAAAACTTAGGTAACAATAATGGATATATAAATGCTATTCATTTATATATAAAATAGGGTTTACCCAGTGATTCCAGAAGCTTCTTCACTGGCTTTTAACTTTGATGTCCAAGCAAAAGGCTTGGGAGACATTAATCGAAGTTTTGTCGTGAGAGCCCAGTCTATAGGTAAATATTTGGAGTTCTTTTCAATTTGATTCTGTAAGAAATATTAAATTTAAAGCAGAAAAACTTCAGAGTTACATTAACATATTACGTCAAATATAAGATGCATAGTTTTACGTTTTTGAGTCTGTATTTGTAAAGCATTTTATATTGAATCTAGGGGTTGATGACTATATATAATGATTGATGATAGTTGATACTATACACTTTTTTTTTTTTATTGCTTAGATGGTTGGACGAGCTCACAGCCCACCTGGTGTTAAGTGGTTACTGGAGCCCATAGACATCCACAACGTAAATGCGCCACCCACTTTGAGATATAAGTTCTAAGGTCTCACATATAGTTACAACGGCTGCCCCACCCTTCAAACCGAAACGCATTACTGCTTCACGGTAGAAATAGGCAGGGTGGTGGTACCCACCCGCGCGGACTCACAAGAGGTCCTACCACCAGTAATTACGCAAATTATAATTTTGCGGGTTTCATTTTTATTACACGATGTTATTCCTTCACCGTGGAAATCAATCGTGAACTTTTGTTGAGTACGTATTTCATTAGAAAAATTGGTACCAGCCTGAGATTCGAACACCGGTGCATCGCTCAATACGAATGCACCGGACGTCTTATCCGTTAGGCCACGACGACTTCAACTACTTATAACAACACAAAGAACTAATGTATGCAGTAAACTGTGCAGTTACAGTTGATGATGCTCTTGCTCTTAATTATTCAGAAGATAATCAAAGTGAATTTTAATTGAATTAGAGAATGAAAATAAATGTTCTTTTGAGATTAAAAACCAGAGAAGATATTATGCTTAAATTTAATGAATTACATTTGAAAATATGTATTAGACCTAATCATTGATGGAGATCATCTCATGGATGAATAGCAGAGGTACTGCTAAGTCACTGCCTACTGATAGGACTATTGCCACTATTATCTAACTAGACTATTATCACTAGAAGAATGACATTTCACAGTGCTTGGAACACACTGGTGTGATTGTAGAATCTCTTGCTAAAAAATGATACCTGGAAATGAGTCAGAGATCAGAGACAAATAACCAAATGACAAAAGTAATATGAAATTATGTAATTAATTTTTGATCTACTTAACCTAGAATGTAAGGCTTACTGTTTCAATTGAATGTTCAGCTGTGAATTTTTGTAATAAATTTGAGAATGTAGACAGCTTCTCCGTGTTGAGCTCTTGAGTAGGTTTTTCTGTTACTTTTGCTGGTAAATTTAATAAGGCAAATAAAGTTTTATCATTTGACTCATCTAATTGCGTGTCTTCTAGTTTTGGCTTCTTAAATTCTTGAGTGTTGTTTCTGTAATTCAATTAACTTAATCATCATGTTAAAATTTGTGATGGTTTTTTAATTTTACAAACTTGTCAGAATGTTATAAATATGATATTAAAATTAATAGTTATTGATCATGATGATTCTTTGTAATTTCAGACTTACTTAGAGTATTGTATGATATCATTGTAATGTGAGCATGAATAATTTATTGCATTAAATCATGTTTAAATATATATGTAGAAACATGAGCCTAAGAAAATGCCCTAAAACTATTATACCTATAGTGTATATGGAAGGTTAGTTCTTACTTTGAGAATGGATTTTTTCTCTTTTCTCCATCTAATATCCTGGAGAAGTTTAAGTCTAAACATTTTTTACCGCTTGGCTTTGCACTAGTCGACGCTAGCGGCTGTCTCATGCGCTTCTGTAAATGTAGTAAATAAACAAAAATTGTTATTTGTATGTTTTTGGGGTTGAGTTATTGTATTGAAATATTAGATATATGTAATAAATGGGACTTTAATTCAATACGAGTTCTTAATATTTCAGCTAAGTTAAAAAAAATTGAGTATTATATTAGATACCTGTAACGCTTTCTTCCGTTTTTTCAGTCTGTGTAGCTGCATCACTTCGTTTGGTCTCTTCCATGGTGACGGCGGCGGTTCCATTGAATATTTTAATATGTAATTATGTTAAATGGTGTTTTGAATACTTATATGTGTTAAATCATTTTTTGGTAAAATTCGTGCATTTCGACGAGTGATCTTTGTTTATCGTTTACAACAATGTTGACAGTCAAAATTGTTGACATTTTGGTTTTTTCGATCGGTCTCTTGGTGAGGCAAAGAAAAAAATTGGCGTACAGTCAAATCTTTTGGAACAAAGAGCGAAAGCGTGTAGTAGGTATGAAAAGTAAATCATGCCATCTTAGTGATTTTTCTTGGATGATTCTGTTACCTACTTAACTGCCAGTAGCCTCGAGGGGCCACTCTGACTTTACCAAAGATGGTGGCCGAGTTCATGGGGTCAGCCTGAAAGTCTTTGCTGACACTAGCCCTAACAAGAGCGGTGCTTCGCTCAATCTATCTCAGAGATCCCAAGTGGTCACTAATTCCATATTATTACACGTTTCAAGATGAAGAAATACTAAATTAACTAAAAAAAATCACACAACTTGACCTTTTTTTTATTACTACGATAGGTGGATGAGCTCATGGCCCATCTGGTGTTAAATAGTCATCTGGGCCCATAGGCATTAACCACGTCAATGCCGCCGCTTGTCCTTTATTTTATTCTTGTTTTTGAATAAATATGTGAAAGCTCCTTATTTGCGCTTCCTTCATTCACGTTTTCACTATTGTGAATTAAAAAAATGCGATCCCATTCCTATATTCATGGCCAAAGATTTTTTATTCGCAGATCTAATCGGTACATTGATAAAAAGATTCCAATAAGTATATAGTATAGAATATATTTTGTTAGCTGGTCGTCAAATGGATTAATAATAAAGTAAAATACATCTTAATGTAATTTTGCTTAAAGTATGTTGTTAAATGATATCGCTGCAGTATTGCATCGACCTTAGATACCAGCCGCCTTCGCCACCGTCGTCGTCCTTCAGTATTTAAAAAACAGAAAGAAGACCTTATAACTCAATGAGTATCCTCTATAATCCCTTTTTTTTTTGCTTAGATGGGTGGACGCCCTTACAGCCCACCTGATGTCAAGTGGCTAATGGAGCCCATACACATCTACAACGTAAATGCGCCACCCACCTTGAGATATAAGTTCTAAGGTCTCAAGTATAGTTACAACGCCTGCCCCACCCTTCAAACAGAAACGCATTACTGCTTCACGGCAGAAATAGGCAGGGTGGCGGTACCCACCCGTGCGGACCCACAAGAGGTCCTACCACCAGTAAAATGGAAATTACTAAGCCATATTCACGGTTTTGGTATTCGCGCCATATTTATGGAAGATATACTCTTATTGTACTGAAGAAGGGCTGTCTTAATTGAAACAGATTGTTGCTTTCGACAAAAACTGGTTGGAAAATGGTACCGAGTCCCTAAAAATATTTATTGGTACTTAGTTCTAGTTATTTAAGTTGCACAAATATATTACTTATTCGAGGCTTGCTTTTTATTGGATAACATGGCTTTGCGAATGACCTACAATAGATTAATACAGATTTCTTATCAAATAAAACAAAAAGATCCATCACAGAGGTTATACAGGAATTGTTAATAGCGCGATTCAGGGATTTATCTGTTCTCGTTTGTATTATCCTTCGTGCAGTCTGAATTCACGACGGTCGTTTTAGATACTAATTCGTATGCCAGTAGGTATAATAAAATTTATAAATAATCTCACTAAATTGGGTTCTCCTGTTTTCCTTATATTATATCACATAATTATTCATAGAAACATAAATCTAGTAAAGTGAAGCTGCATGCCGGCGTAAGCTTTCAGTATATTATTATAGCGTATTAGTACAAAGCTACGTTGCCTACGGTTCCATCGGCGGACGCTCAGTAAAGTCAGTAAGCACTAGACGGCGTCAGCCAGCACTCGACTACCGACCGCATGCTGGTTACATATTACATACTATTACTGTTTACGTCACTTAAACCTTTATATTTTTCACAATGAAAGACAAAACGAAGAATGGTAGCTCTGGCACGAATTTTAGCAGATAATATACAATGCGAAATCGTTATTGAAAAGTTTTCCGAAGAAGTTTAAAAAAAATGAAAATAAAGACGTATCTTTGCGGCGGCTACGAATTCTTGAAGAGGAAATTCTTTTTTGTGAGTAAATTTTTAATATTTATAAATGAATAAAAATATATATTAATATTATAATTCTAATAATTTAATATATATATATATAGTATACATTTATATAACAAACTTAACGTAGCAAAGCTGTCCAACTAGTGAATATCTTCGGGATGTTAGTTTGGCAAAATTCTAAGAATATGATGAGCTCACTGTTTTTTACTCTGTCACATTTTCAAATACATTGTTCAATTTGCATGGTAACCCAAATTTGAAGATCAAAATCAGTGATATGTTACGTTTTTAATTTATAATTTAGTTCGCTTCAATTTGAATCACGGTTGTAAACGATATGGATAAAATAAATAATCTCTGTTAAAGCGATCCAGAACGCTACTCATCTTTTAACCAGCCAACTGTTCAGTTTATGACTGTTATTTTAAATATGTTTCATACACTTATAAATTTCTTTCTATTCTTCATGATTTGAAATTATTTCTCTCTTGGAGTATTTTGTTATTTTATAATTTTCTGCGAGTAGCTCTTAAGTAAATTGTGAAGTTATTGTGTGAAAGAACGAAACAGTACTTCGTTTGCGAAAAGAAAATATAAATTAGAATATTTGTCTAGTTAGAATATTCTATTGCTAAACGAAAATATAAGCTAGAATATTCTGTTTAGTTAGAATATTTAATAAAATATTTATTTAATACGATGTGCTTGAAACTTATAACCGCCTACCCTTTTTGCAATCAATTAATGAAATTGTGTTTGTATAATAATTCCGAGAATAGTCAAAGAATTCGAAATGTCTCAAATAATAAACGCGATAACAGGAAAAGTATTTTAACCGTCTTGTTTATTTTCGTCGTGTGACAGTCATGCGTTGCTCATAACTGTAAGCATGACCTCAAGTCTTGAAAGTGGATGAAGGCATTCACAGAGGGAGCTATCTACGTAGTTTCCGGTAAAATTTAGTATTAGGCGATCCTTAAGCTCTTTCAAACACATATGCAATTGAAAAAAATTTTAAGCGTTCAATTAGCTTCTACAATTTAGAAAACCATCAGTTAAAACAAGCGTATGTACGCTACTACTATGTACATTAGACAACCAAACGGTGATTAAAAATTATGAAACATGGAAGAATTTTTTTATTAAATATTTTTTGATCTACTTAATATTTTCCGCCTCTGTTTGTTCTGTCAAAACATAAAAAGATAAATTTAAGGTCAATGATTAATTAATTACTTCAAAGTGAGTGTAAAGATAAAATTAGGTAAACACGTTGCGGCTAGAATTTGAGCGTTGGTCTAGTTCATCGACTGGGCTATTTATATTATGGGTTTTTGAACTACAATGCATAGAAAAAATCGATTTATAGCGTATCTACCTACCGTACCTACGTAAAGAGTAAAATAGCAATTATAGATCTTGTCGATTTTGCGTGTATGTTTTTCGCTTGTGGTCTAAATCTTTTAACTTTTTAATGGTACCTACGATATTAACCAGCGTCAATAGCGTTCTCAGGGCCCTGAAACTGCGGTACTTTAAGATAAATATTTTTTTGTATGGTAGCAAGCGACATCTTGTAGCGGATGCCCTCTAAACTTATATGTTGTTGAAGTTAAGGCATTTAATTATTGTATAACTAAACACAGAAAACAAATGAATCATACAGGTCTTTATTATAATAATAATAATAATAATAATAAAAGCCTTTATTCAGACGCAAAGGATATTTACAAATAATAAATAATAATAATAATAATAATAAATACTACCTGCAGATTCAATATGAAATAGTTAGAAATCATGAATCATAATTTGCGAATGCAACGGCCAAGGACCAGAAAGGATATCGATGTGAAGAGCTATCGGGTCTTTGGAAACAGGTTTTGCCCATTGCCTTACTCACTACCATACAATGTTTCTTGTCTAGAATACACATGCTTTAGTCGGATTAAAGATAAATTCATCATAAAAATGAGGTGTAGATATATTAAATTTTCATATGAATTGCAATTTATTTAACGGCAAGCAGCGACTTGTCTGTATTGACAATAAAAAATATATACGACCATCTATTTAATATTCCAATTTCACACGATGGCTTCGAAAGCAGTGCACGTGATATAGTGTTTGTGTCTGTCCACTATGCGAAGATTCATAATAGTAGATTGACATTGATAATGTCATTTGACTTTTATAGTTTCATTCAAACAATTATATTCTGTCGCAGCGAATAGAAATTGAAATTTACGATAATTCACTACCGAGTTGACAAGAATACTTGGTCGCATCAATTATGACGGAGCATAAAAGTTCGTCACTGTTTAGGATTCAAAAGATCACAAAAGAATAAGTGACATTATGCTTAAACAGATTCTCATGGAAAAACAATCGTATGTAGGTTAACAAAAACAAAACAATATTAAACGAATGAAAATCAAAATTTAACAGATACTTCGTAGTTTATGGACTCAGGTTAACCGTGATTGATGGTCATCATTTTCCATCGTTCCCCTAAGATGTATGCACTCGAATGGAAAATCCTTCATACGTGAAATGTATTCATGGGGACCCTATTCGGCTCACCATGATCGTGTTTATAGATAGGACTATCACACTTCACTTGCGTTTAACTTCATGTGTATATCATATATGTATTTATGTACAGGGCCAGATTTAGAGGTCTGGAGGCCTCGGGGCAACAGAGGAGCGGAGACAACCTGGACCCAAATCATTTCCCAAATAAAATGAACAATTTTTTTCAGCCGAGTTTTCTAATCATTAGTTTATTGTGAAACCAAGTAGATTCTCTTATTGTTTAACAAACATAGATAAATACAATCGGAGACAAGAATTAACTGAAATTAAATTTTAGTGTTTACGTTAACATTAAGTAAAACAGCGAAAAAAGAATATAATGAAGAATAAGAATAAAGACAGAAAGAAGAAAGTAGAAGAAGAATAAAGGTGTTTACTATTGTTTACTTGTCGGAATTTGAAAGTTTTTTCCAAAGTCTATTGTGGGGAACCTCCGTTTGTGGAGGCCCCAAGGTTTTCGCCCTCCTCTAAATTCGGCCCTGTGTATGTACATAATCCTGATGTGGCATAAGTAGCGGATATTAATAATCGAGCAAATCTTTTCATTTACGTATAAGTTCAAATAGAACAACTAACTTTATCAGTGTTTTCAGATTTCAGCAGCGCTTTTAATTCTGTTGACTTCTGTTGACTGATGTTCTGCTCGAAATACTCAAATCAAACAATATCTCCTCGTCTGCTATTAACTGGTTTGATAGTTACCTTCGGGGGCGTTCGCAATGTGTCCGTCTTGACGAGACTTTCTCGGATTGGCAGAACGTCAGTGCGGGCGTTCCCCAAGGTGGTGTTCTTTCTCCTCTTCTGTTTTCTGTGTTTATAAACTCTGTCACTAGGCTTATATCTTCTAAATTCCACCTCTACGCAGACGATTTCCAGCTATATCGCCACTTCTCGGAGCCTGACGTTGAGTCGGCTATTGCTGCGATGAACAGTGATCTGAAGTCTATCAGTGAATGGGCAAAAAAAGCCTACGGTCTGCACATTAATCCGAGAAAATCACAGGCTATCATTATAGGGGGTAAACAATTGCGCAGTAGACTCAGCGATCCCATACTCCCCCCAATTTATTTGGATGGGACTCAAATAATTCTAACCGATTCAGCTAAAAACCTGGGTGTTATTGTAGATCGACATCTTTCGTGGAGTTTTCACAATGCTGAGATTAGTAGGAAGGTGCACTTCGCCTTGTACTCGTTGAGATGTTTGCAGGGCTTCTTACCTCAGCATACAAAAATATCTCTCGTCCAACCTCTCAGTCTACTCATAATTGATTACGCCGATGCCTGCTACTTGGATGCCACTGAGGCGCTCTCAAATAAGCTTGAGAGGATGCAAAATCTATGTATCCGTTTTATATACAATCTCAGAAAATTCGATCATGTTTCTCATTTTCGCAAAGAACTCAAATGGCTCCCTATACGCCTTCGTAGGAATACTCGAATATTATGTCTCCTATTCAATATCCTGCATAAGCCCACTTCTCCCTTATATTTACGTGAGCGATTCTCTTTCATTCGTTCTCCTGATGCTCCCTGCAGATCCAACCAACGTTCTGTCTTGTTATTCCCTTCCCACAAAAGCAATTTCTATTCTCACTCCTTCACTGTGCACGCGGTCAGACTGTGGAATTCGTTGCCGGCTGACATCCGAGTTTGCAAGTCTGTTTCTGTTTTTAAATACAAGGTCAAACAATTCTATCTCTCATCAACCGAATGATCGTTGTTCTATATTCTTCGTATATACCTACTGTGTTACTTATAATATTTTGTATTCAAGTTTGATAATATTTGCTATGTTTATGTGCATTACTATAATTCTCATGTTGTATTTGTTATTTTAGTTATGTGTTATTTGTTCTACACACACTCATCACTTTTAATTATTATTCTCATAATCCTCTCGCAGGTTTGCTGGAAGAGATTTCTGAAAGAAATAAGCAGCGCCTTTGCACATAATTTTCCTATTACTCTGTACTATGTCTTCTTTTCTGTGTGTACATAAATAAATAAATAAATAAAAAAGTAGATCTAAGAGTTAATACGAGTAAGTTGTAGGCAATATAAGAAGCGTTTTTAGCGTCTAAATTTAGCGGTTATAATTTTCGTCCTGTAAAGTCAGATATACATTCAAGTTTTCGTGGTTACAGACGACTTTTTTAAACCTAATCGCTTAAATTTAACTGAAGCCATTAATGTTGTTCAATGATATGTGAAGGTGCTACTCCAATACTCCTCGGTTTATCACAGAATAACATTTTTCACTTCATTTAAAATCAAGCGGTCAGGTTTAGAAAAGAAAAATGTATTGTTCAGTGTTCAGCCCATCACTACAGTCATCGCGAGCAAGAGGTCTGCGAAAGAGACGCTAAAATGATATTCATGTATTTTGTGAAAGAAGACCTGGAATTTTTTTGATCTTCGACACACACGAACATCACCAAGAGTTAGATTACAAAATTAAATATAGGAATAATTATATTAATTTTGCGTCTAAGCAGGTAATTGAGGTCAGAGGAATTGTTAGATAACATCCCTTCATTTACGATTACCGATTTCATTTTATGATTACACATAAATATAATAAAATGGTTATTAAAAATTTAAATGGCTTAAAATGGTTACAACCTATATTACCTGACTAGCGACCCGCCCTCGCTTCGCTTCGGAAACATTAAAACACACATGAAACCAAACAAACAAAATAATTTTGTTTTTTAAAAAAAGTAGCCTATGTTCATCAGGGACAATGTCGACTTCTAATGGAAAAAGAATTTTTCAAATCGGTCCAGTAGTTTCGGAGCCTATTCGAAACAAACAAACAAACAAACAAATCTTTCCTCTTTATAATATTAGTATAGAGTATAGAAATCACCGCGTCTACCCATAGTGCATTTTCAAATATGATTGTTACTACGTACCAGCAAGCTCTGGAGTCGAATCTCTTCTCCATAATGACGCCCGAGCGCGCAAACATATCTTTTTTTAAAATCTGTTCGGTAGAGAACGTCGTTGATATTGCTAATGCCTACTCATTCTGTGGACCGTAGGCCTTTTATAGTAGCTAAAATATTTTTTTTGTATAATATTTTATTTAAGCCTCTTAAAACACAAACACGTACAAGAATTCTTAACACTAGTATAATAATATACATGTTTTTTTTTTATGAGGTATACAATAACAATATTCCCTGACTTTTATGCTACGAAAACCTGTGTTACAAAAGTCAGTGGTTCAATGCTAGTTCACCATTTAAGTAAGTTAACCAGGAAGAGCGGTAGATGTTAAGTCGATTCATTTTAGCAGGCGTTCTCACAAATCCTGTCATCTCATGCAAGCACGATAGGTACCATCTCGTTCGATATCCAGTAATTAATGCGGGACCACACTCGCAGCGTGCTGTCATCGGGCCTATTCACTCGTTCAATAGGCGAGGCACAACGGGGCTGTCAAAGGCGTTAACACATACGACGTTCAGTACGCGTCTGCGATGAATAGAGTCTGAAGTGGGTGTGTATACGTGCTTCCGCTTCCGACGCAACGAACATTTTATGTTCTATACTGAAAACTTTTAAATTTAAAAACGTGTTCGACGGGTTTCTCCTTTTTTTGCTTTTTTTTATTTTTTATTTCTTAGATGGGTGGACGAGCTCACAGCCCACCTGGTGTTAAGTAGTTACTGGAGCCCATAGACATCTACAACTTAAATTCGCCACCCACCTTGAGATATAAGTTCTAAGGTCTCGAGTATAATTACAACGGCTGTCCCATCCTTCAAACCGAAATGCATTACTGCTTCACGGTAGAAATAGGCGGGGTGGTGGTACCTACCCGCACGGACTCACTAAATGGTCCTACCACCAGTAATTACGCAAATTATAATTTTGCGAGTTTGATTTTTATTACACGACGTTATTCCTTTGCGTTGCTTTTATAGACAGACGAGCGTACGGCCCACCTGATGGTGAGTAATTACCGTCGCTCATGGACATTATCAATGTCAGGGGCAGAGCCAAGCCCCTGCCTATCTTTTTTAATTTTCATTAGCTGTGGTAACAGACCTGCTCAGCTCGAGCAAGGCTCACATAATGTTGTCAAATTATTTTTTTTTTTTTTTTATTGCCCTTGTAGGCAGACGAGCATACGGCCCACCTGATGGTGAGTGGTTACCGTCGCCCATAGACTTCAGCAATGCCAGGGGCAGAGCCAAGCCGCTGCCTTAATATCTATTTATGTTTTATATTAATATTAATAAAAAAAATACGGTAGGCAGCGGCTTGGTTCTGCTCATGGCAATGCTGAAGTCCATGGGCGACGGTAACCACTTACCATCAGGTGGGCCGTAAGCTCGTCTGCCTACAAGAGCAATAAAAAAAGCTGACTCAATGGATGTTGTACGAATATTTCAAACTTTTTGGATGAGCTGTAATAATCTGGATCGTTTTGACGAAAATGTTTATAAAAAAGTTATTACTGGTCCGAATTGTGATTCTCTGAATCATTTTCTAGACCAACTGAACACAAACAAAAAAGAAATTGTAAGCATAAACGTGCGAATCCGTATTTATTGAACTATTATTGCATGTTGTACTATCATAATGCCACCGGTGATTCGTTCAGTATTTCCACTGTAACGATAGTTCGTAATGATTTTTATTTGAGTTATAATATACTTTTTTTTTGTTACAGATATCATGGATCTCATTAGTGTTATTTCTTTTATGTAACACCTTTATTTATTATAAGGACGAGCAGCAATTTTTTTATGTTAGAAGAATTTTAGGGGTGAGTGTTTGCTTTGTCATTTATTTATTGCACTTTGTATATGACCTCAATGGCTTTGGCATAACGGCCATTTTGCTTTTGTTCAAATTGGAACCAATGATTGTATTGGGGTTGTAAACGCCGGTACCAAAATACAATGCTATGCTGGTAATCTGATGCATCCCACGTCTCGTGGGTGGTAACATTCATGCTGTGACTTCAATGGATTTTGGATTACCGCTAATACCAAGTTGATAGAGATCGTTTGTCTAGCTCACAGCCCACCTGGTGTTAAGTGGTTACCGGAGCCCATAGACATCTACAACGTAAATGGGCCACTCACCTTGAGATATGAGTTCTAAGCTCTCAGTATAGTTACAATGGCTGCCCCGCCCATCAAACCGAAACGCATTACTGCTTCACGGCAGAAACAGGCGGGGTGGTGGTACCTACCCGTGCGGTCTCACAAGAGGTCCTACCACCAGTGAACTTTTATTATGGAAGAGGTATCAAACCAAATACAATGAAGATATTTTCTTTATATACATATAAACAACTTTTTAGGTCCTTTATTACTCTATACGTAAATAATATTGCATTGAACACAGGTGTACAATGGCGCACGGTTACATAATTCACGTTAGTTAATTCGATTTGCAGCTAGGATTATGTGTATCTCGAGCCACTGCGTCGGTACTGAATTTATGCAGCGCATTGCTACTGGTGCCGTTTTGCAAGAAACTAAATCAATTCCTGTACAGGATAATATCGAAATTATGGCCAACATTATTCTTCTATTGGCTGGAGAAAGCGAAAAGCTTTCATATGACTGTGGCGATCACATTGGCCATATTTGCAGGTGAGTTTTAGTCGGTCATCTATGGTTTCAATTTAATCTCTCCCTTCAATTACGATATTAAGACAGCACTTTTTTAAGAACATGCAAAAGGATTTGTCAGGAAGTGATCGTGCTTTTAAACGGATCTTTTTTGAGATTAGGTCGATGGTAATCGGTTCAGGGAAGGTGACCTGGTTGGAAATAAGACGTCCCTTATATTACTCAACTTTGGGGGTGGATAAAGGAATACAGGGACTTGGTTTCAGAATGCTATATCTAAGTTTGATAGTATTATAACGTATTATGAAATCGCACAGCTCTCCTTATATATATTTCTCTTGGATATCAATCATACGTTCCAGTTTGTAGGGTTGTTTATTTTGATGTAGTTTAACTTAGATTTTTTGGTTTTGAAGTAAGCGTTAACGATATAGTGGTCCGCTCACCGCGTGTACTATTTGATTATACTTATTACTATTAAATATAATAAACGATTATTACTATGAAATATTAGTATTATTACTATTAAATATAATAAACGAGCCTAAGATTGTAAAACCTATGCGAGCAAAAGAATTTTCGCGGCTAAGCATGTACCTTATACAATTATTTGAATCAGAATATGTAGAGATGTTATATACAACTCGCCCTTGCTTTTTGGCTACCAAAGCCCATAGTCGACTACGCCAATGTTTCGTTGAGAATTTACGCCGAAATATTAAATTGAGTTGGAATATTTAGTTTGATTCTTACGGGTCGAAAGTAGGTAGTACGGAGGCAAACATCGGAAAGATCAAATTTCATTCATATTTTTGATAGCAGCGGAGCGCGGAAGGTTTCTCTAGTTCATTAAAGGCATAGGTGGGAATGTGTTAGCCAAGGCCATATTCTATATTATTCAGGAAACTCTCACAAAGCGAATTGAGAATGCTGTAGGCTTCATAAAAGCCCTGTAAGAGGTGTACCATTAAGTTGTTGAGACGCGCCTAATGGGCGTCGGCGTTTAGGTTTCCTAGTTTTTATTTTTGCGCGAGGGTTTTGTAAGAGTTCAATATTGAAATTGTTTTTTTTTTACGCAATTGTGAATTCTAGTACAATAAGATAAAATTTTTATTCATATACGTTCAGGTTGGCAATGGTTTTTGCCTGATTTGGAATTTGAGAAGAATAACTATAATACTATATAGTAAAATTTACCGATAGCAACATGAACACGCGTCGATAATTACTGTTAAAGTAACATTTCAGTGTAATATATAAGTTATAACAATACTAGCTGTGTAATATTCAAGCCACATATTTACAACTTCATAAGCTGAATAATGTTTTTGTATAAGTTTTAGAAATTCTAAGCTGTCTGTTTTATCAGTTTATGTGTTTTAAACGTTTTTACTTTACAGTTGTGCATTCTGCTTCTCACTTTGTAAACTTTTGGAATTTCTCAAGAGGATACGACGAAGAGTGGACCGAAATTAACTTTGCAAGCTACAAGGATGAGGTTAGTTTTTTAAATTAAATAAATTACACGTAGTTTTTTATAAAATACAAAAAAAATTCAAAACAAGAAAACTGACTTCATACGAAATAAAATGAGAATATTATGATATCGGTGTCGTCGAGCTCAGTTAAATATGAATTATTAAGTATAACTCACAAAGTATTGGTTAGATATGGATAATATTTTAATGGTATGGGTAAAATAATTCTCATTGGATTGCATTTTGTATTTTCCATTGTGCTTTTAAGTTCTCGGGCTGACATTTTCTTCTCAGTCGTACACTCCTTTTATATCTTATATCTACATATATATATCTTATATCTTATACAATCCTAGCGGAGTGGTCGTGGTTATGTATTGTCTTTATTCTCTCTCTCTCTCTCTCTCTCTATTTGTGGCGGTGCGTGATTTTTTAGAGCTTAGATCGGTGGACGTGCTCACAGTCCACCTGGTGTTAAGTGGTTACTGGAGCCCATAGACACCTATAACGTAAATGCGCCACCCACCTTGAGACTAAGGCCTCAGTATAGTTACAACGGCTGCCCCACTCTTCAAGCCGAAACGCGTTATTGCTTCACGGCAGAAATAGGCGGGGTGGTGGTTGATACCTACCCGTGCGGACTCATAAGACGTCCTACCACCAGTGTATATTCATTAAGGGAACACTTCGTAAATGACTTAATAAAGTCTATCCATCTACTCTTCTTTGAACTATTAATCGTTCCAATGAGCTTTCGTTACGGATGATATGTCCAAACATATTAAGGCTTCGCAATTGCACAATCGACGAAAGCTTTTGTTTGATTTGGAACTCTTTCAGGATGGAAACATTGATGCAGTGAGTAGACCATTTTATCCTCGGCAGACATTAGGAATGTCATATTTAAGTTAAATTTTGTCAATAATGGCTTACTTGAAAACACTACTGCATAGGTATTACTGGAAGCGAACACTTCAAGTTTAATCTGACAGAGCTGAGTTTACGCATTACATCTGACCAGACATTCAAGTAGGGCGTTGTGAAGAATTAGTCCTTTTAAATGAGTGCTAATAAAGTTTTTTTTTTGCTTAGTTGGGTGGACGAGCTCACAGTCCACCTTATGTTAAGTGGTTACTGGAGCCCATTGACATCTACAGCGTAAATGTGCCACCCACCTCGAGATATAAGTTCTAAGGTCTCAAGTATAGTTACAACGGCTGCCTCACCCTTCAAATCGAAACGCATTACTGCTTCACGGCTGAAATAGGCAGGGTACCTACCCGTGCGGTCCCACAAGAGGTCCTACCACCAGTACAACTTTAAAAGTTACTTCCTGATATTGACAAACGTTTATTTTAGAATCCTCTCTGGCTACTGTTGAGCGTGGCGGGCATAACCGGCGTGTTAATGCTGCTCATAGTCTTGGGCATGAGCGCAACCTCCACGAGGGTTGTTCGACGTAATATGTACAATGTTTTTTGGTATACGCATCAATTGTATCTGATGTTTATGGTGTTACTTATTGTGCACCCATTAAGGTGAGTCCACAGAGATAATTTTTAGTTTATCGCACGAATTATATGTAAGAATTATGTTGTAAACGATTCGTTACGTTGATACACTGTAAAAGGAATAGTTTTTGTAAAATTTTATAAAAAATTTTTGGATCGACTCTAAATAAACCGTATTTGTCATATTTAAAAAACAATCATATAATATAAATATAAAAATAAATAAAATATAATATTTAAATGTCCTTATCCCCTATGAAGCCTTTTTTTGGGGTTTCGTATACCAAAATTGGTATTTTTTTTTTAAATGCTTAGATGGGTGGACGAGCTCACAGCCCACCTGGTGTTAAGTGGTTACCGGAGCCCATAGACATCCATAACGTAAATGCGCCACCCACCTTGATATATAAGTTCTAAGGTCTCAGTATAGTTACAACGGCTGCACCACCCTTCAAACCGAAACGCATTACTGCTTCACGGCAGAAATAGGCAGGGTGGTGGTACCCACCCGCGCGGACTCACAAGAGGCCCTACCACCAGTAATAAACTTACTTTATCGGAATTCACTCAAAAAATAAAACGTTTATTAAGTAGATAGTTTTGGACTCATATTTCATTTTAACTCATAGAAGAAGAAACAGAACGACTGATGTCTTAAATTGTTATTCGACATAAATTTTCGTTAAATGATTCTAAAAATTATAGTTATTAATGTTGAATAAATAAATTAGGAAACAGTTAAAAGCAAGACTCTCTGAATGTTGATGTAGACTTGAATATTCTAACAGAATGACCATGCGCCGTGACTCAGAGTAATGAGTGAATCATGTATAATCAAAAAGAATATTGCATTTCGTATTCTTATTGCTATGAGCTCATTGAGTTTTTCGCCGAATCTTCTCAGTGGGTAGCGATTCGGAATCGGTGGTAGATTCGGCGAAGCACTGCATTTGCTAAGGCTCAATTCGCCAGGCTGAGCCCCGTGAGTGTGCCTACAGGCTCGGTAAAGCTAGTATAACCTCTCGAGGTAGTATCATGGATAGTCAAAATATACGTAAATATTGTTATAATTGAATGTGAAGGAAATTTATTTAGCAAATCAATAGCATAGGTACAGTACCTGGTCATAAATATTGCACGTCGACCTATGGAAAGAGACGATCGGCTAACTTCGGCTCGGTAGAGCGCTATCTCTGTCTGTTTACGGTACCGTTAGTTTATTTTTTTATTGCATTCTGTACCAGAAGATGTTACGGTCCCATCATAATACGTGGTACAATGGATTTTTTTTTTTTTTTTGGTCAGGAGGAAATCGCCGGACTTCCGCCCTTTTCTGGGGATACTGGGCGGGGTATGTCAGAGTCGAACTGACTAAAACCTCCTGTCGCTCAACAACCAACGTCCAAACGTCGCATGAGACAGAACTCATGACAAGGCAAAGGGGGGAAAGTGAAGCGTTTAGTGCGGAGCACATCTCTCCCATCACCCTCCCCCTCGGGACGCCGGACTGGCGGTCGTCGGCGCCACGACCACCAGCCCTCTCGGTCGGCAGGCTATCCGAAGCCCGCCTAGATGGCGCCGGTTAGAATGGTCTATCCTACGGAATACCCCGCTGGGTCAGAACCAGCGTGNAGCAAGACGGGCAGACTCAGCAAAACTCCCCCCCCGGGCCACGACCAACGTGTCGTCTGCGTAACAGATTACGCTTAGGCCCGGGAGGAGGGCACCCCTCAGTACCCAGTCATACCCGATATTCCACAAAAGAGGGCCGAGCACCGACCCCTGTGGAACACCGCGCACGACCGGGAACCGGTGCACGATCCCACCGTGTCCGGTACACATGACCGATCTGTCCTCCAAGTAGGAACCCACCAGCCGGCGAAGGTAGGGGGGCACTCCGTGTCGTTCCAGCGCTCCCCTTATCACGGACCAGGGCAGGGTGTTAAAAGCATTGGCGATATCGAGTGACACCGCCAAAGCCACCCCACCCCCGGAGACGGCCTCCTCCGAGAGGGCCCGCACGCGAAGGATCGCGTCTACCGTTGAGCGGCCCTATCGGAAGCCATACTGTTCCGCCGACAGATCGGGTCCCACCCTGACCAGATGCTGGATGATACGGGCCGCCAGAATGCGTTCCAGCAGCTTGCCCACCTCATCCAGCAACACGATGGGACGGTACCCGGCGGCAGTATCCGCCGGGCGCCCCTCCTTTCTCAACAGCACAAGTCTGCCCGTCCTCCACGATGAAGGAAACCGTCCCGACTCGAGGCAGGAGTTATGCTTCACCACTTCCGTCCAGCCCTCGTCCATGCTTGACGGGGGAGGAGGAAGGGGACGGGACTGTGGTTGGGATTGCGGGGCGGGATTCTGGGCACCCGCACCTCTGTTATTCCGGTTCCGGCCTCCACGTCGTGCCACCCTCCCGGGTGGTGTACAAGTTAAGGTCGGCTGGGCAGCCTGGTCGCGTGGGGCGGTCGCGGCTGTTGGCACCGGGACGCAATTTCTGAAACTAATCGAGGAGCGGAGCATCTCCTCGAGGCCAGCAAAGTGTTTGCCGACTTCAACCGCCACCGCCCGCGAGATGCAGGCCATCATTTCCGCTCTGCTTGGGACGTGATCCACCTCCCCCTCCTCCCTCTGCGACCCCACAGCACGTGGGGGTGAAAGAGGCGGCTCCGCAGGCCTAGGCCGCGGCAGCGCCGGCCACTCGTCTACCATCCTCGCCAGTGGCGAACGAATGTCCTCAGCCTGCGCTGGCACAGGCCTTAACCGTCCTGTCTGTATGGATTCCGATATCCGGGGAGGCGGCGCAGGCCTTAACTCAACCCTGCGAGGGGGGCGAGGGAGCGCGGGAGTAGGCACTCGCGGAACAGCGGCCACAGAAGTGGGCGCTGGCATGGGCGCCGCCACACTCATCACGGCCCGCGAGGGCACGCTGGTGTCCATCTTCCTCACAGGCGGCTCAGAGCGTGCCAGCCTAGGCATCGGTGACAGGGGAGTTCCCTCTTGCAAAGCCGGGGAGTCCCCCAGACTGCGACTCTCCCTGAAGTCAAGCTGCGCTACGAGTTTGGTCATAGTGGGAATCAGCTTAGTTCTAACCATAGCGGCTCCCTCCCGGAGCCTCTTCCGGTAGCTGCTGCCTGGCTCGGCGCCCTTGGTAGCCACGGTCGACAGCAGCTTAGCCAGATTGACCAGCGCAAGGTCGAGGTCGCGGAATGCCTCGTCCCCGCTAGCCAGGGACGCGGCCGACGTCGACATCGACTCCACTGACGTCGCCGGTGACACTGCGCCCCTCCTCCTTACTGGTGCCCACTGGGGAGCGGGCATCGCGTCTTTCGTTGCGGCAGGCCCCGCAACCACTGGAGCCACCTCCTCGATTGTCATCCTCTTTTCCGGCACCTCGGTGCTGGAGGATGACGCGCCGCCGTCGTCGGACGTTGGTAGTGGGGTCTTCCTTCGTCCCCTCTTTTTCCCCATCGATAGTCTGATAGGGTTGATCACACCCGAGTCGCTGGCGAGCGCAGAGCGCATCGAGCCGGCGATCGGGGAGTGCCTCAGTTCGACGGGAATTCCGCTGCCCGTCGCACAGCCTCCTTCATCGTGGCAATTGTTGCCCCCCCCAGAGTACGTGGGGCAGCGTGCTTCCACCGAGGGGGAAGCACGGAGGGATTCTCCGCCCGACTCGCGGGTGGTACCCTCCTGGGGTATTAACTTTAAACAATTGGCCATCATCATGAGATCCTTTTTTATTAACCAGGGGTTTGGTCCCCTGGGATCTACGACACCCTCCAGACTGGAATCCCTCCAGCCATTCATCCCATCGCCGGGTGTCGAGCTTGGGATTGGGGTATTTTTGAAGAGGTTTGCGTCCTCGCGGCTCCGACCAGTAAAGGCAGGAGCCCCCGTTCCCCATGACTGGGGTTTACGGTTTGGCCTACGGTGGCCGAAGCCTGTCCGTCGCCCATAACGCGGTGTGGAGCCACGCCGGCGAGCCGGTACCTCCCATATCTGGAAGGCTTTCCCCTGTAGCCAAAGCCGGGGACATGGCAACCCGCAGCCGGAAGACACAAAAGTGCCGCCGGCTCATCAGGCTCCCGGAGAGCCAACCCCTCATCCCCTGAATGCCACCCTTTGCCAGTGCAAAGGGCGTGGGGAGAAGGTCCCTCGCTGTCTCTCAAGGCAGCACCCCCTNGAATGCCACCCTTTGCCAGTGCAAAGGGCGTGGGGAGAAGGTCCCTCGCTGTCTCTCAAGGCAGCACCCCCTGAATACGGAGGCAACCGAGGAGAGCTGGGCGCAGTTCTCTTTGTCGCGGCATCCCACACAGATTCCTCTGCACGCGATTTTAGGGACGCACGCTTAAGCCCCACCGCCACGACAAGGCGGAACTACATTCGGTGGGGTGGTACTATGGATACAATGAATGGATCCGTGGATACGAGTGGCTTAGCTAAGCGGTTATCCTCTATCTACAGCAACGTACTCATTTTAGACTTGGTTCGAAGAAGGACGTTCGTGTTCTGTTCGTACGTGTACCTTAGAACGAAATCGTTAGAAATAGAAATTTAACTGATAATTTTTTAATTTGATTTCATTATGCGTTTTTAAAATTGATTGGAACTTTGCCAATTTTTAACTAATCTGTTTAAAGTAAATTACGGTTTTTTAGAGATTATAGAAAAAGATCATACTGTTTATTTTATGAAAGAGATTATGTTTGGATGAAGATTCTTCAGAAATAAAACACAGCTGCGTTTTTCGTTTCCCGGGTTTGTTAATTTGTTTTATCTGAGTGCTGTTCACTATTAAAGGTTAGGCATGGTAATGCAATATGCATTATATTTTGTTTCATTTTGTTAATTTAGTCACCATTTTGAGACACCTTTAAATAGCTTGATGATACACAAGCGAACGACTTCAATTTGTATAAGACTGCGTTAATCAATAATTCGGATTTTCTAATGAAATACGTTCTTAACGAATGTTCAAAATTGACTTCCACGGTGAAGGAATGATATCGCATAATAAAAATGTAAACCAGTAAACATGATAATTTGCGTAATTACTGGTGGTAAGGGGTATAGTGAGCCCGCACGGGTAGATAATACTGCCCTGGCCATTTTTGCCGTGAAGCAGTAATGTGTTTCAGGGACAGCCGTTGTACTGTAAGATCGGAGATTTAGGACTCATGTCTCTAGATGGGTAGCGGCATTTACATTGTTGATGTTTATGGGCTTCGGAAACCACTTAGCATCAGATGGACCGTGATTTCGTTCATCCATCTAAGCAATAGAAACAATACGTATTTTAGAACAAGAGTGCAGACACTCTTCTCTTTCACAATTCAACACTGCATATAAAACCTTCAGGAATTTTAAATTCCGTGTTTATTAAGAATGAATAATGAATTGTTTCAGTGGTGTTCTCAAAGAAGAAGTAGTTAATAGTGAAGCTAGTCTATATTCTAGTCATATTGAACCGTGGTCAAATAACGTTACCTCGGAGGCAATTCCGAAATTTGCGCCCATACAATCGAAGGTAAGAAATACTTTATTATTAAAAATTTAATAAGAACTTCGTATCAACGAATCGTAAGTTGCTTTTTCAATGATATAACTTTATAAAAAAGAAAATACGATGAAAATGCAAAACAACTGATAAAAAATTTTTTTGCTTGGGGTGGTTAACATCCTCATGGTTTGCTTGGTGCCGGTCACGGAAGACCACAAACATCACAACGTGAATTCCGCTCTCCAGCTTGAGGCTTGTCTCTATTGTACGGTCATCACGAAAATTAAAATTCGGTATTTTCATAATAATTTAAAACTGAAAAAGCTACACCAAGTTTGAGGATGGAAAATGGTTTAAAATGATAAGAAGCGATATTTAGGCGGTAAGTATATCATTTGCGGCGCGGTATTCTGAATCATAGAATAAGAAATTGGCGACTTACCTGATGTTCTCGAAGACTTTGTTCCCTTCAAGAGTGGGCTTCTTTAATTATTTTCGGCGGCCAGCGGGTGGCGAGCACTTCAGAAAGCTAATTGAAAGTTCTGTTATAATTCAATAGCAATTGAAATATGCGGATTTGTGACGTGTACAGAAGCGGAAACTCTATCGAAGATAACAATTAAATTGAATAAGACTAGATTTANCGACTTACCAGATGTTCTCGAAGACTTTGTTCCCTTCAAGAGTGGGCTTCTTTAATTATTTTCGGCGGCCAGCGGGTGGCGAGCACTTCAGAAAGCTAATTGAAAGTTCTGTTATAATTCAATAGCAATTGAAATATGCGGATTTGTGACGTGTACAGAAGCGGAAACTCTATCGAAGATAACAATTAAATTGAATAAGACTAGATTTAAAATTCGATTGGGTCATGAAAATTATTTTCATGGAAGAAGTTCAATGCGAGTGGGGGATTACATTTGGATGCGTTTTGTCGTCTGTACTTAATATTAGTTGGGCAGCTGCGTCAAAGAGTGTTCAAGATAGGTCTCCATAAAAAACTTTTCTCCATTAAAAAATTTGCGAGGCGAATTAATCTTAAATCATCAAGGATTATTTTTGTCATAAGTGTTCACGTCTCTATCCTAGATTTTTAAATAAAGATTTTATTCAAGTTATTAATTCATTTTGTTCTTTTACTAAATCCAAACACGTCTCAATTTTAAACTCTCTTTTTTGTTTGTCTATTTGTTTACTGAGTAAGTTTCCGAAACATATATATCCCATTCTCACGAGATAGAACTCGATGGCCGATAAACAGCTTCACCTAGATTATCTTTACAGCTATCATATTAGAAAAAAGTTTCTGTTTAAAAAAAAGTAGCACGCGTGGAAGGCGTACAAAAGTCATGATCTCACTTAGTTTTAAAATATAATTCAGCCCGGTAATTTTTTGGTAAAATTATCTAAATGGAGAAATAATAAATAAATGCAGCAAATCTTGAATACTTGAATAATTTCATATTATCGCTTTACATCGCTACGCTTCGGCTCTATAGTGTAGTCTTAAAGACTTATGACTTATAATGAATGAATTATTATGAATATGTTTACGAATGCCACGGCACGCCTGTAAATAAACTGTTAAACGAATTTAGTTCTCATTATTCGTTCTGATTACGGATCCATTCACGAGGATTCATTTAGCGTGACGAAACTATGAGAGCAAATAATGTATTGTACGATTCATGTTGCCTTGGATTGCAAATAGAATATAGATGTTGAAAAAAATTTTTTCAGACTATATCTCAACGCTTTGAAAAAACGTGTTAACTTAAGTTTTTTTTAAATAATACTACATTTAAACAGTACACGGGCGTGTTGCGATTGCCAACTGGCATTTACTGATGGGATCCCCCAACTTTATCTGCCGCGAAATGGTAATGCGTACAGTTATGAATGGCGGAATTGCTGTTGCATAAAACAATTCATGCTTTGAACTCATGAGACATGTCTCAGGTGGATGGAGGAATTTATTTTGCGATGTTTATGAGCTCCGATAACTGCTAATCCATGTACGCAATTAAAAAACGAAAACATGAAACGTGAAATTAAATTCTTACGACTTACTAAACTTACTAGATTTACTAAAAAAAATTCTTACGACACGCGAAAACCGAAGGAAATATTAATTACTGAATAACTTTAATTACACAATGAATAATACTCATTCATATACCTATTTCCATCATAACCATTTTTTTCTCTCGAGTACAATTATGTATTTAATCATAATTATAGACTTGGTGCTGGATAGCTGTACCATTGACGTGTTACTTAGTCGACATCCTGTGGAGGATATTGACAAGGAACAGGGCGAAAATCGAAATTTTAGAGGTAAGTCACCATTATGTTATTACAAATACATTTTTTATCTTTAAATGTATGTAGCTTGTACTCGAAACATTAGAAACAAGGACATCCAAGTGTATCGGGTTTTCGGTATATATTATTTGGTATACATTTTTATGAAACATTCATCAACTTAACTTTTAACATGCTTATCATCATCATCGTTCCATCCTATTACCTTCTGCTGGGGTTTAGGGCTCGAATCAAAATTTTCCATTTACATCGGTCTTGGGCAGTCTGGTGTAGCTCCTCCCACGTCATGCCCAAGACCCCTAGCTCCTGCTCCACCGAGCGACGCCAAGTTGTTCTGGGGCGGCCTCTCTTCCTCTTGCCAGACACTTTCCAGGTCAGTGCTCTCTTTGATAGGTAGGTTGGTGGGTATCGGGCTTTTTCAAAATGTGACCAATCCAATGCCACTTCCGCGTAAGGATCTCCTTGCTTATATATTATATAATATATAGATACCAAGATAATAAAAGCGCGTAATTAAAGCGTACATATGTACGAATGCATGTGTATGTCACTGTAAAAGCCCGAATATTGGTAAATCTTAGGTTTACCAGTAAATCTTAGGATTTACCAACACGAGTCGGTAAATGTCGGTAAAAAAGAAATAATTTTTTCGGGCTTTTACCATTAGTATTTAGTACATGCTAGGATTTACCAGTGACGGTTAGTAAATGTTGGTTTTGGAAATAAAATAATGCATACTTCTCAATCATTTATTTGAAGTTGAAGATAAGCGAAACGTCAATTTATTATAATTAATCAAACGTTAAACAAACAAAATTAACTAACGTTAAGTTAGTAAAAAAAATTACTTGTTACAACACGGAGCCCGGTTTTGGCATTTGGAATTACAAAGTAATCTTGATGTCTCGCATTTTTTAAGGCAGTTACATTTCTCGAAGCCTTGTCCTCCAGTCAATGACAATTTTCCGACAACTTCTCGGAGCCTAATGCGGAGTTTACATTACGAAATTAGTGTCATGCATGTTGAGCTCAGTTTCGCGAAAGTAGTTTCGATATATGCGAAAGTAATTTCGTTAAAAAATTAGTGTCGCGAAATCCACAGTATCGCAGTAACCATGGCGCCTTCAGCATCAAAGCTATAATTTGCTATGTTCAATGTAGCTAAAGAAATGCTTATATACCTATAAACTTAAAAAAAGACTATCAAGAAAAAAAAGGCGTTGGTAGATTCGAGGATGGTCAACAAGAAGGCATTTAGGAGCAATGAAGTTGAGTTAGTCTCTGAATTAACAGATGAAGATCCTGAGAGTTATAAAAACTATTTTCGAATGAGTGAAGATAATTTTGTTTTTTACTGTAGGTGTTTCGGGTCCCAGACACCCTTGTCGCAGATATTCATTAATAAGATCTATATTTTTTTCTGTACTCCATCGTTGGTTTGCCATTTTCAACGCTTGAAGCGCGTCCGAACTAACAATAAACACGTCCGCACAGCGCAGGTCCTTTCGCGACATTAGTTTCACGTCGCGTCTACACTATGAAATTAGTTGCATGACACTAATTTCACCAAAAAATCGCGCAGGGCACGAAACTTATTTGCATGCATGAAATTAATGCATGCATTACGAAAGTATTAAATTACACGTGAAACTGTTGGTAAAACTAATGTCACGAAATTAATTTCATGCCACTAATTTCGTAATGTAAATTCGCCTTTACTTCTTTATCTTTAACAACTTCATTTATCTTAACAAACTCTTCAGAGCATGACGACAATTGATTCTATGTGTAAAACTGCTTTAGTACTCCAGTTTTGGTACCCAGTTGGTAAAACTGATTGTCCTTTACATCTACCAAAAATTGAATGTAATTCTTATTTAGATTTTTTATTTAAGCGTGCTTTTTTGATTGATATTGTGATATGCTCTCTCAGTACGAATGAAAACGACCCTCATGCCCTTGACGAAGGCCATAACTTTTGCAAAAAAATTCACGTATCTACATACCTAACATAAAAGTACCTATAAGTACGAAAGTTACACACTAATGAAGCAAATCGAAACCTTCACAGCTTTCCAATGCGTTAATAAAATATTATAAAATATTATAAATAAACGGCGGTCTGGTGTAGTGGTAAGTGACATGGTCACTACACAAGGGGGTCGCAGGTTCGAATCCCGCCAAGGGAAGATATTTGTATGATAAATATAAATGTCTTTCCAGGGTTATGGGTGTATATTAAATATATGTATGTGTATAGTAAAAATATTATATTTATTCCCGTTATCTGGTACTTGTAACACAAGTTCTTTACGAACTTAGCACGGGACTAGTTAACGTGGCGTGATTGTTAGTAAATATTTATATTTATTTATATTATTTATTTATTAATTTACCTATTTAATTAAATATCAACTTTTCTATAATATAGTTATGTAAGTATTGCGTCCCGAAATCCAGATATACTCTTTCGAGAGCGAATTAAATTAGCATAATCCTCTTTATGCGGCCGCACAATTGGAACACGTACCTAATTAATTAATACAATATATTACGTATTAATCGCGTTACGTAGTTTGGAATAAATATAGTTGCGAAACTTCTAGTATGCTTAAACAACAATTAAATACTATAATAATATATATCATGACTTAAACTAACTGCATCAATTAGAAGTTGACAGGCTATCTCTATATACCATTTGTTTACAATTCGTTCTCTGTCGCTCATTCGCGGTAATAGTCCTTTTCAATATGGTACTGGTGGCAGAAGACGGTTGAATGAGCAAGGCGTAGAAGGTGTCAGTTGATTTTTAATTATAAAAATAAATATTTTAGAAAATAAGTATAAAAGTGGAGTTAACAGTGGAATAGTTTTATTTTATGCGGGACGATCCCAATTCTACGATAATACGTTTTTTGGAGTTTAAGTGTAGGATAGAGCCGATATTACAATGCATTTGAGTCTATCTTGATGTCTCAAGATGGTGGTATTTATACTATGTTAGGTGGTGAGTTCGCATACGCGTGCCATTGTAAAAATATATATAATAAATATATATAATATATATATATAATATATACCTAGTCAGGTCATAAGTATTGTCACACAGTAAAAACTTTTCTTTTACAATGCTGGCCACAAAAAAGTTTATTGAATTCGAATTTCGAATTGTTCATGAAAATAAAAATGTATACTTTTAGAATTTTACTCATTTTTAAATATGGAGTGGACGCTTAAAGAAGACCGTGTTGCAGTTATTGCGTTGCATCGTTGNACTGGCGGTCGTCGGCGCCACGACCACCAGCCCTCTCGGTCGGCAGGCTATCCGGAGCCCGCCTAGATGGCGCCGGTTAGAGTGAGCTATCCTACGGAATACCCCGCTGGGTCAGAACCAGCGTGGGTCGAGGATAGCCGGCCTTCCATCACCCGGATGCTCTTGCGTAAAACGCGTGCAGAGCAGCTTGCACGTCGTCTTCTTAGGCTCCCCTCGCCGGTCCCCAGACCGACATGTGAGGGGGGACCCGAAACACTTAGAGGGCCAGGGTTTGGGCGAGATCCGCCTCCCTGGCCCCCGCTCGACGGCGGCGGGATTGAGCGTCTCTCACGCGCCCCGCCGCCTCCTTCTGCGAGATGGTGCACTCGCAGAAGTCGAGCATCGCCTTCCACGACTCGTCGTCGCCGAGCATCGATGCCACAACACTCGGCAACGACAAGTCGTTTCCTACTTTTGCGACGAAGACACGGCGCCACCCCTCCCATGCGGGGCAGGCGACGAGCGTATGCTCTGCCGTGTCCAAGTCGCAATCACAATGGTGGCACTCTGCCGTCGGCTCGGCTCTGATCCGGTGCAGGAACTCACCGAAGCAACCATGCCCAGTGAGCACCTGCGTGAGCGGGAAAGTGAGGCGTCCTCTGTCACGATTCACCCAATCCACAAGGACCGGGCGAATCGCCTCGACGGTCCTACGACCGGCCGAAGGATCAGCCAGCCGTCTGGACCATGACTCCAGCTCTGGACCATGACTCCAGCGGGTGGATATCTTAAGAAAAAAATTCAAATTTAAATAATTATCAAGTTTTTTTTTTGTATCTGTGGTGCTACCTTTCTTTAAACTTTGCAGTTAATCATTTATTTAAGTTACCTATCGCTTTGTATATGAATACATTAAAGACGGAGACAAACGACATTTTCGTTAACCCTACCTTAAAATTGACATTTCAGTACTAAGATTTATTTCAAATTAACCTGGCCTCTGATGAACTTGGGCTTGGCAGAGGTGTGGGTAATACGCTACTGGAAACTGAACGATTAAATTGAATAAACAATAAAATCAAATATTCATATTAGAAAAGTATTTTATTTTAACATTAAGAATGTACAGGCGAAAACACCGTCTTACTTTACATATGAACAATGCGAGCTCTTGATAAATAAATAAATCGTTGTTCATCAATGACGATACACAATTTTTTTTTATTGCTTAGATGGTTGGACGAGCTCACAGCCCACCTGATGTTAAGTGGTTACTGGAGCCCATGGACATCTACAACGTAAATGCGCCACCCACCTTGAGATATAAGTTCTAAGATCTCAGTATAGTTACAACGGCTGCTCCACCCTTCAAACCGAAACGCATTACTGCTTCACGGCAGAAATAGGCTGGGCGGTGGTACCTACCCGCGCGGACTCACAAGAGGTCCTACCACCAGTAATAAAAATCCTTGTTGATGACCATGTTGGTACTTTGAGTGACAGGTTAAACTGTACCAACTATTTGCAATGGAACATGACACTGAGTATATGTTATATCCATGTCACTTTTACTAGTAGCTGTCGTGCAAGAGTAAATTATGAAATGAGAACAGAGAAAGGGCGTATCGAATAGACATGTCTGCCCTTCCTTGTCACAACCTGTCCGATAGGTCGGTGGGTAGGTATAATAACCAAATAATTTATTATCAAAGTACAATTTGTACATTTATGGAGCTCACACTAGGATAACCTGTATCATGAACATTTGTTACTCTCAAATAATAGATAAAGAAGTTACAATGTAAACTAACTATATATTTA